AATTAGTCGCTGACAAGTTGATAGATAATCCAATATTTAGTTAAAGTTCGTTCAAAAATGTGGGAACATTTTCATACCGAATTGTCCGATTCAATTTTGAAAATATTATATTTCCTTCAAACTTTTCGTTTCTTCTTCGACTCTTTCAATTTTTTAATCCGTAACGACGATTTCCCTCCGTTGATTTGTCTCCGGAAGAGAGTGCGAAAGAAATTAGTCAAACGTTTAATGAGATGATGATGATTGACACGATGCCCTGTTTTGTTCAATGCCACTTGTACTGAATTCTACTTGCACACGGTGGAGAAGAGAGGGAGTATCTCTCGATCGGTGGCTATATAGCCAGCTACAGGACTGATCGTTTCAGTTACGAACTCTTCAAGTCAGGATTTGTCCAGTTTTTTTCACTCGTTCTCGTTTACCATCTTGTAAAGACTAGCCTGACTCTATCAGATTTTATTACGGATTCGTACGATGTCATAAATGTCGGCAAACAAGGGTCCACGTGGTTCATCAACTCGTCTGTGTTGACGTTTTTAATCAGCTTAAACGAGAATTTTTATCGCGAACGCCAACGCGAGTACACACAGCACCATGCATTCCGGAACATAGAATTTCGCGATTTCCTTGCAAAGTGAACCACAAAATTCAGCGGGTTACTTTGACGAGAGAAAAGTGATTTAACTTGCCCTCGAGCTCGACACCGGTGGATTTTTCCAATTTCCCGAGGAAAATGCCACCGCAGGAGAAATTTGAAAATTCCGTGCACTTGAACAACAATCGGGAGAGTAACGTGGTGGCCACTCGTCAGAACTCGATCAACATTCAAACGGAGGAAACAGATAAAGCCGTTAAGGAAGAGACGGGTGACATGGATTTTGATGAATTGCTGCCCTATGTCGGGGAGTTTGGCCTTTACCAGAAGATCCTCTTCGTTCTGATGATCCCTTTCGCTTCGTTTGTGGCCTGGGTCTACTTCTCGCAGATCTTCATCACGCTGATACCGGATGATTATTGGTGTTGGGTACCGGAACTGGAGAACCTCACAGTCAACGAAAGGTGCGCAAAAGTATCTCAGTTCTTTCCCTTTGGGAAATTGCGTAGAATTAGAAGCGAGATTGAAATCTGAAGTTTCTTCGTTTAACTACTTGGATCTTCAGATTTTGTCGTCATTTAAGAGCAGCGAAGTCGAGGCTAATCCTCAGGAAATGTTCATTAGATATCGATAGTACAGAAAGTTTTACGATTATATAGATTAATGAAATTTTTTAAAAGTCACGTAATCACACGATTTGTTCATAAAAATTCATTCGTTGTTTAGATAAAAGATGTTTGTTCATGTCGATAATTGCGAAGATTAATTTGTTCCTTTCAATCTGCTCCAATATTGACTTTGTTCACTGGACAAAGAAATAGTCTCGTAGAAATGCACGTAGGAGATTTCTTTGTAAATATAAATACGATTAAAAAGATTGCTTCTGAGTTGATTCAGTGTTTTACTTAATAAAATTCCACAGAGCTGCTAAAATTAGATATTGAAAATTTTCTTCGTACCAACTCGATTCGCACATTCTCAATTTTCTGACATTTCTGATATTTCATCGAAGAAGAATAGGTTGCAAATATTCATGTCAAGATCTAAGCCGATTTATTTTGGGATCGTTTCTATTGTTTGCAACTTATAATTGCGAAAATGAAATGTATGAAACGTTGATTCATTCTGTTTATTACGGTATTTATCTAGCGTGTGTGCAAAGTTTTCGATGACTAGATGACTAGAGACAACTTAGATAACAATTTATGCTGTTGGCTACTATATTGTTATGCAAGAGAAAGGAAAGCTTAATTCCTTATTGAAACACTGCAACGAGTTGTCGTAAAGTCCAACTTTTTTTTGATATGGTTGATTCAGCACTTCAACAATTAAAGCAAAAAGTTGCGTTTCAGATATTAGATATTAGATATATCTTCTACACACTTTTCATCGGCAGAAACAAAATAAAGAAAATTTAGACCAGTTTCTTCTTTTCTTTCTAAGTGAAAGTAGAATTCAAAAAAAAAAAAATTTCTATATTGTTGGAACAATGTGCAAAATAAATTCAATGAAACACAGAGAACCAAAGTGCTGGAAAATTGAAAAACTTTTGAAAAGATTTGAAAAGAATCACGTACGATCTAGAAATCTAACGAGGCTAGTAGAAATGAAAATGCCACAGGCATGATGCTGATGAAAAATGCGATCGGATTGCGATCATTTCAAGACGCAGTAAAAAAAAAACAAATACCAGGGACAAATGATTATTATCGATGTTTGTTACCTGTTTTGTGATTCAAGGATAGATCACCGCATGTAAAGATTTTCTCTATGAATGCTTTCTACATTAATGCATTATTCAATTATTGTTATTATCAAGTACAGTCGAAGGCTATTTTTCGCTTTAATAACTCAAAATTATAAAGATCAAAAGGTTGATAATAATTGATAATTACAGGGATAATTTTAGATGGGCATTTAGATAGGTTGAGATAATAGGTTTTTATTATTCACTTTTATTATTCTTTCCCATAAATCTCACTTGAAGATAAAAATCAGATTTCGTCGCATTTTTTTTTTTTTTTTTTTAATTGAAATGCTGTTCTGTAGTATCATTTTGTAAAGTACTTAATTAAACAGTTGCATTTCTTAATTAAACATTTGCATATTAGAAATATACCTCAAGATTGAATAGAATATGAAAAAGTTGTTAGTTAAGTTAAGTATAGTATAGTATTGAGTACAAAATTGAAACATAAAAATTTTATGAAGCTCGTACAATAAACCAATCATCGCAAATCTTTCCACTCATTTCGAACTTGAATAGAAATTTAATTCTTAATAGGAGTCGGGCTTCAATTCCCTAAAATTAATCCACTCAATCATAAGTTATTAAATTCTCAATCCTGTTGAAAGTACTAAATAGAATAAAGTGCACCTACTTACGTGCATACGTGCATGGAATATTGACTATCTGAAAGTTACTCAAACGAAACATAATCTATCGTTATGTTCACGTACACGATCTCATAATCCGGTTCTTCGATTCCAACGGACGTTAATCTTGTTACGTTGTGCGACAATTGCATACTCTGTTACTCATCGAGACATTTCTACTGAACGTGAAAATCGGGAAAGAACCAAGTGTAACTGGATTGCACCTTCGTTTCGTTGGTTACGACTCGCTGGGTTAACAACCCTCGATGTTATTCAAATAATGCAACAGCTGGTAGTAGCCGGTAGCAAGTCGTAAAAGTCATAATAAAACACGTTTCTACGAGTGAACGTATGTTACCGCGAGACATGCACCGAGACTTTTATTTCTCTACGCCATTTTCACCCGTCCGAAACGATCGGTTGCGTAACGGAAGTCGTTCCTTTATCTGCAATGCATGATAACGAACGAAACGCGAGACTGATTTAATTTTGTCCCTGGTTTTGTCAATTTCTGTGCAAACTTAGTAATTCTGTGTAAATTGGCACCGCATCGCGACGTTCTTGTTAACGCTTTGAGTAGATTCTTTTTCTTGGTGTAAATTGGTCAGGAGGGTTGCGAGTTCTCGTCTGAAATACACGATTCTTAACTATATTCTAGTGGAAAATTTAGAAATCAAAAGTTTCATTTCGAGCTTTGGAATTGAGAGATTGGCTTCTTCTTTTTTTTTTGGACGAGGTACATACATTCGTTTCTTAGTTTCTAGTATTTTGTATTTAGAACATTTTCTAAATGTGTAACTTGAGTGACTTCAAGACAGTTTTATAGAAGCTAGAACTAATTTTACAGAAACATTTTTTGAAACAAAGTTCACTTTTCTTCACTTCACGTAGAAAGAGATTATTTTCTCATATTCAATAATTCTTCAAGTTTCTGGTTCACTTTTCATTTGCATACTAACATAAAATTGATCGATGTTTCTTTTTTTACAAGCTAGGAATCACTTTATTTTCCTTGGGAAGAGTAATTGAGAAATTAAGTATCTCTATTGAAAAACATTACAAATGGATAGCATAAATAATCTCGATAATTGCAAGATAAACTTTAGAAAAACTTTTTAAATTTAATCTCATAAATTTAATCGAATGACTGAACTCACAATTAATGTAAATTGGATAATTTTCTCCTGTCTTTAGTTTCTACTTATCTTATCATAAACTTATCATTTCATTCACATCGTTTCTTCGTTAAAGTATGCGTGTTAAAGTACTAGATAGATAAAATACGACTCGTTGAACATTTCGATTGTGTGTGACATTCGTAAACGATCCTGCGTTCCATTCTCAATACGTACATATATAATAATCTTTAAATTTCACTGATGCTTATCTCTCGTAACGAGAGGACGCATTATTATATGCACAAAAAAACTGCAATGCTCGGAAGAAACACAGTACAACAGTAAACGTTGCCAAATTAACCTTCGTGGTGTTCAAAGTGAACGGTTAGAAACGATTGCCTTTTCCTATACTTAGATGGTTATGCTTGCACCATAATTCGTTATTAAGACGTTTCGAGAGAGGCAAAGGATATTGTGTCGTAACGGTGTTATGCTCGCACAATGCTCCCTGGATAAAATCCCCGTATAATAATTTATCGTATTCGCCGCGCGAACGCGTTGAACCTTCGCGCAAACAATGAGAGCGTGAACGTGAAAAAATGACGTCGAGCACGTTGGCTTGATATCGTTCATTTGCTCGCCGGATACCTTTGCGTAAAGGCATTCGACCTGCTAAAAAAAAAAAAAAAAAAAGAAAAAAATCGTTCGACGATGGAACTATATTATGATGATACAATTAAAGATACTATTACGAGTGCTATTACATGACGCACACGAGTTTGAAAAGTCTAATGTTTTAGCCCATAACGAATGAATATCACGCAATTTCGATTAATTTTCTGATTTAATTCCTTTTAACTTTCTTGCTCGAAAGTTGCTCGTTAGTTCCTATTGCTTGCAGCGAAGAAATTGCATCCAAGGTGGTCGTTCTTGATTAAAATCCAAATGGTAATAGATAAGTATACGCAGCGAAAGTATTTGAACATTTATACTTGTATCTTCTGAAATTTTATTACGAGATCAAACCACTACAAAACAGGTAGTTTTTCAAAATTTTCTTAGACTATAAGTTATATCTCATAATTAGGGAAGTTATATTTTCCACGACTATCGGATGGAAAGCTATAAAATTTCTCAAAAAACGATTACATTCAACGTAGTTGAGAATCGGAGAATCGTGGGATCAGAGATGAAAAATTTCACGACGATGGAGTAAGGTAAATCGGATGAAACATGAGTCAGTATTTCGATAATAAATCATTATATAGGAATCTTGAAGTAACTAATACCCAGTTTAATGACATAGTAGTTAACTCCGATAAATCATCATTTTTATAGTAGTAAAGAAAATAAGAATAGCAGCAGGAAAAAAAAAAACAAAATATTTTCCAAGAGGCTGTGATTAACTCCGCTTGGCTGATAAGTTACGAGGTGAATCTACTTCGAGCGACAGGGACGTCTGACAGCATACTTTCCGAATCAGTTTCCGATGTTTTACGGGCGGACATTCTTTTCTCTCGCAGAAGTCACTTTAGTTTGCTCATTATCGGCGAATGCACCATGAAAAATGTAGCGCACGCTTGCGTAATGGAATCGACTTCTTCGGTCGTTCACTTTTCATGCAAAGGTCAGGCAGTATCAGCGGCTAATCGCGATGTCACTTGAGATGTAATTGCACGCAGATGACGTTAACATTAAAAAATTTTTCTCCTGATTATAACATTTACCGAGTACTCAGGAGTTTTGCAAGTCGATTGCAATTAATTGGCAATTTTCTGGGAAGAAAATTTCGATAATTTTGATGATTTCATAGCGTAGTTTTCTCAGTATAATTAATAATTTCTCTGCAATCGTTCATCCAAGTATTCGTCGATGTTATTCTAATCAACGTTTAATTATTAAGTTACGCCATGATTTCCCAACGAATTATTTCCCATTATAAAACAGTGGAAAATTCACGAAGATTTCGAAACGAGGCATTTCGAGGTGTCGCATTCTAACAATATAGCGATTGTTCGACAATATTGTCCAAGTAAATAAGGTCAATTTGATTCAAACAGCGTGACACCGACTTCCTATTTCGTTATACAAAGCTCGTCAAAACAGGTGTAATTATCGTCACCGAATTATCTTAATGGCGTTCACTGTTATAATAAACAAGCGATTTCGACATCCGTCGGCGATTGTGAATCACTATCGTAGTTATCGAATGTGATTGGACTAACTAATGCAATCTTTCGGTGATAAATTGGATCCGGCGTGTCTCTGCAGAAATTACATTCTAAAGCTCGATTATTTGTTACATATTTTTTGATTCAAAAAAGAGAAGTGAGAAACTTTTAATTGTAGTCAGTGAAAAATGAATATCATATTTACTAACGTAATTTATTTAACGCTAGAATTACCGATGACTAAAGCATAGAATTTTCATCAGAGACGTTAAAGTAAAAAGAATGAAGAGACTTTACTTGTATATTTTACAAAAAAATTGTTTGAAACTCTAACATTGTTTTAGATGTATAAAATTAGAAATTCGTCATTTCGTTGACCATTTTGACTAGATATATAAGTTGTACACTTTTCTTTATTTCGAATAAAATTCCAATCAAAAGTGTTTCATTGCGATCGATTATGAATCAATTAAATATTATCGACTTAAAAAAATGTTGAAGATTCCCAGTGAGATTTTTAAATACCCTGAATCTGTCTACAGTCTTTCCTCTTTCGTTTCAGACTGTCGCTAGCGATACCAGCCAATCACGAGGGATACTCGAGATGCAGCATGTACGATGTAAATTACAGACAGATTTTGTTAAATGAAAGCCACGTGCCGGACCCATTGTGGCCAACGAAAGCTTGTCAACACGGATGGGAGTTCAATTATAGTACTGTTCCGTACGCAACTGTGGCAACCGAGGTGAGAGACAGACTGAATTCTTTGGTCTCTTTCAATTATTTCTATAATATACATATAAAAATTTTATTACATCTGCACACACACACACACACACACA